ACCTTCTGGACCATATGTATCACTTGCACCGTCTTGTACAGCATCGCTGCATGTTTTCGACAATACATTCGTGTTATCAGTACAACTCTCTAACGAAAATTCGATTAGTCTTCATTGATTTACAGATTACCTTCGCCGGAGAGAAATATGAATATCCACAGATTACTTTGGTTTTACAAATACACAACCTTAGATTCCGCCAAAACTCTTATTTCAAACGATAATGGCGAGGAAGAAGAACCGAAACCGGAAAGCACCCATTGTTTTACGGAACATCTACAGAGACAATGCGAAGAGTTTAACTACCACTCTAATTGTATAATCCATCGGCCTCCTCGTTCATTTACTTACACCCATTGTAAAGGTCGTTCTTGTTTTCGATGATGTGAAGATCTCATAACTCTTTTTTTCCAACATGATGACCCTTTGAATTACCCCAGTCTTTTCAAATATTGCTTTGTTGTTAATGATCAGATCAACGTTGGACTAAAAATAAGTTCGGTTTTTGTTTTTAAAAAAGTGTCATTCTGCTTGAATGAATATCCACTGCTATATTCATAAGAAGAAGAAAAAAATCATTAAAAAATTATATTCAGCTAAGTTTAAAGTTAGAAACTCAATATCTATAATGGAGTCCTATATTCCTAAGCCGATGCCTCATTAGTAAAATTAATAATAAATAATAGAAATAAAGCCAATCCACAAACATGAAAAGTGGGGAAAAGAAAACCCCAAAGTTCCCAACGTTCTTACAAAATAATCAACAGAATGTATAACCAAAATACCTTTTTTTCGTTCCAACATTGATCAGGATCATTAACAACAACAAAGCAATCATTGAGAAGACTGATTCAAAGGGTCGTCGTGTCGAACAAGAAAAGTTATGAGATCTTCACTGTATCTAAGAAAAGAACGACTTTTAAAACGGGTTCAAGTAAACGGAAGTGCAGACGGATAGATTATACAAATAAAAGTAATGGCTGAACTCCTTACATTGTCTCTGTAAATGTTCCATAAAATAATGGTGCTCTCCAATTTCGGTTCTTCCTCCTCTCCATTCTCGTTTGGGATAAGAGGTCTGGCGGAATTCAAGGTTGTGTATTTGTACAACCAAAGTCAGACATGTTTGTTTTCCCGCGCTCTTGTTTAGGTTTAAGGTGGATCAGTACATTAGCCGGTGGTTATTATTCGTAGGGTAAAGTTGAGAAGTCTGGCGATTTTCACTTTTTACGCTGTAATAATTACTGGATGGGATACCTGACCACCCTGTCAGCCTTTTGGGCTCCCTGCATGTCTTCTAAATATCCAACCGCTCAACTTTTCATAAAACCCTAAGTTTATGCTGAATTTGAATTTATTTGACATTAAATTTAAGAATAAACTATATAAATGATTATTTATTTTGAGTATGATGTTTAAAAAATAATTTAATTATTAATATTATCTACTTATAATAAATTGATCACTAAAGGTTAATAGTCATTACTGTAGGTAATAAAAAATTGATGTAATGTATCAAATACTTGATATTTGTCACTTGTTTGAATCTTTTTATTCACAAAAGTTTAAATTAATTATTTTGTTTAAATTAAATTTATGAAAAATAATTAATTTTAATGAATAGTTATTAGGTTAATTAAGAAAGAGGTAAAATCAATAGTTAACGTCAAAGAAAATATCTCAACCCTTCACACTTGGCATTCCTACGACAAACAACATTTTCTTTCTTCCATTCGTCTAGAAAGGTTTGAGAGGAAATTTATTTCTATTATGGATATAAACTAAAAGCAATCTACATAACATAAAAATAAATACAAGCTAAAGATGATTTTGTGGGGGAGATTCTTAGTCCACAAGTGATGAATCTACCAATGATCAAGTTGCCTCGTTCAAGTGATTCTACCACCCAAGGAACAGAAGAATTAAGTAAATATAAATCAGATTAATCGTTCTTCAAAAATAAGGAAAAAGATTACATGATCAAAGAATACGAAATATTTCTCAGTATAGGGATCATCACAAAAACCATAAGGATCATCAGCTATGGATTCGATGGTGATGGCCAACTCTTATTCCACGAGAAATGATTCAATGCCTTTTATTGATGCTGGGAGTATGAACAAAAGATACACTAAAAAGGAAGAGTTGAACAATTTGTGGATGATTTGAAGGTTTGATGCTCATAAACTCTATCCAAATTCATTCCACAAAGTGTTATCAAAATTAAAGTTATAGGTGTCCGATAAAAGAAAATATAGATCAATTTTTTTTCTTCGAACGAATTGCTGTATTATAATAATACTTATGATATTGAGAATAATCGTCTAAATAACGAAAGTATAGAAGTTCAAATATATGGAGGATTTGATGATTGGTTGGTTTTAGAAGGTTTAAGTGATTGTTTAGGAGTCATTGAAATAGGAAACTAGGAATGAATAATTAAAGAGAAAATAATCTCAGTGACAAAAAATGTCTTATAATATACGATTTTAACCAGTTTTTTTTTATTTGTCAAAATGATCAACTAAATCACAATGCGATCGATAATTCGCAACACGATCTCCGGTATCGCAAATCAGTTTCCAGATTCGCGACGCGAACTTCGACTATCGCATTGCGATTTACATATTCGCATTGCGATAGTCCAAGTTCACGTTACGATTTATTCCAAATTCATTGCGATAGTCTAAAATCGCAACGACTGGTGGTATTGTATTTGTTCCTTAAAATTTTTCTCTAAAAAGATAGTATTTGCGCGGACGTGTCGAAGACACGTATTACCACAACCACGACTCGATACGAGACGGACGACAGCGACGGCGGCGGCGCGAGAGTCCCCCTTATTCTTTCACTTCAATAAATGATTCAAATTATTTTAAAAATTAAATAAAAATAATAATTTTTTATATCACAAGTCATATTCAAAACAAATCATAACAAATATAAATTAAAAACCATAAAATCAAGTGAAACAAAATGATTCAAATTAACTACGACATAATATTTAAGGTAAAACATATTAAATAATAGAAGTAATTTGACATTCAAAATCATGGAGCTTTTTGGTGAGCATTGAGTGAACTATTCTTTCACTTTAATCAAGCTCGAATTTTAGGTTTCAATTGAGCTTCTAAATTTTTTTTAGTTCAAACCTTTTTGAGTTCAAGTTTCAATATTATATTTCGAGTTCGAGTTGAACTTGATAATTTTTAACTTGTAAGTTTGAGTGGAGTTAAGCTTACTTTTAAAGTTTTTAAGTTCGAGTCGAGCTTAGTAATACTCGAGTTTGACTTTGCTCGTTTAACAAACAACGTTTGGTTTATTTTTTTTTTTAAAAACAAAATTTCCGGTTTTTTCCGGTTTTCAGTCGGTTCGGTTCGAACGGTTCAGCGGTTCTGGCCGGTTCACTAATAGCGGTTCAATCGGTTTAGATTGAACCGAACTAGACAACGATTTTCGATTGAACCGACCGATCCGGTCCGGTTTTTAAAACAATGGTGGGGACCTTAGTTCTCCTCCAATTTTATGTATATTTGGCAGTTTTCTAGGCTCCCCAAGCAAGCATGGTTTAGTCATCTTTATAACATATGCATGCACAAGCTCTCCCAATTCCATATTATCTACATATATGTACTCATTTAAATGATAATTTCCTAATTCCATGTTATCTATATATATACTCATTTAAATTTATCATTTGTGAAACCAAATAAGCAACTGAGGTGGGAAAGACTATGATGAGAAGAATTCATCAAACAATCTCAGTGTATGTCAATAATAAGTTGTGCATTGTCAATAACAAGTTCGAGTAAGTAGAGTGTATGTGCATTATCAGTAACTGAACAAATATTTGTCTTTATTATTCACTTGACTTTAAATGAGAGAACAGGTTTGTTTGTTTTAGTTGTTTTATTTTCTGGGGTTTTTCCCTTCTTCTTTATTGTTCCATTAAAAGGAAAGATTTTTGCTTTGATGGTGGTTAAAAAACAGGGTCTGGATTTGTTTCTTAAGACGTTTACTTGCATGGCAGTGCTTCGATAAAGTTGCCTGCTGATTACACTGCTGGAGTTGTGGTTGCTTTCTATGTGAGTCTATCTGATTAATCCTATTTTTCTAATCCCATGGTTGTTGTTTAGTGTTGATTAATCCTTTTTTAAATGATACTAATTAGAATCAGATGAATTTTCCACTGTTTTCCTTTAAAAAAAAATCCCAGATTTTTGTTCAAGAATCTGATCAAAATCCATCTGGATATGAATATGAACATGTTGAAGTTATCTCAGAATTTCAGATAGTTTTCCCTTTTCCCAATATGTAGTTGCAAAGACTTGTGAAACATTGGTGAAATGAATTTCCTGAAAATGGATCCCTTTATCATGTGATAACAGATATAGAATGGTGATATATTCGAGAAGAACCATGACGAAATCGATTTCGATTTCTTGGGTAACATTAGAGGCAAAGATTGGAGGATTCAGACCAATGTTTATGGCAATGGAAGCACCGGGGTTGGCAGAGAAGAAAGATACAATCTCTGGTTTGATCCTGCTGATGATTTCCACCAGTACACCATTCTCTGGACTGATTCTTACATCATGTAAACATTCAAAGTCTATCCCCAATTACTCATATTCAACGAACATGGATGCTGGAATGTTATCCTTTAAAGGTACTCCGAATTCGTGTGTTCGGGCTCATATAATTCATCGTTGCGTTGCTTTCTGTGTTCCACTATAGGTTAAATCCATTAGTTTTCATCTCGGTTTCAACCACAACAGTTTTTTTATCATTGATACATTGTATGATTAGCTGTTTTGAAGAGTTTCTGGCTTTGATGTTGACGTCTCTATTGTAATGTAGGGTTGGATTTCTATTTTGTCATGTTTAATTTTATTACACAATGTGAACTCTGGTTTTTGCTTCTAATGGCAGCCCCTGTTTCATCCATCCAGGCTTTTCTCCGTTTCATGGATTCGTGAACGAGTGTTGGATTAGTGTATGCATCTGATACGGATATGCTTTTTGTGCTTTGCAGATTTTATGTAGGCAATATCCCCATTAGAGAGTTCAAAAGAACAGCTGCAATGGGTGGAGAATTCCCCTCTAAGCCAATGTCTTTGTATGCTACAATATGGGATGGATCCGATTGGGCTACTAATGGTGGCAAATATAGAGTCAATTACAAATACGCTCCTTACATAGCCAAATTCACCGGTTTGATCCTTCACGGCTGCATGATTGATCCGATCAAGTTTTCGTCAAAGAGGTGCTACACCGTTCAAAGTCCAGAACAACTCACGACCCATATCACCCCATCACAAGGAAGCAAGATGGATAGCTTTAGGAGGAAGAACATGACATACTCATATTGCTATGACCAAACCAGATACAATGTCCCTCCTCCCGAATGCGTGATCAATCCCCTAGAAGGTGAACGACTCAAGAAGTTTGATCCAGTCACATTTGGAGGAGGTAGCCGCCACCACGGGAAACGACACCAACGCAGCCGAGTAAACCGGTCCAAGGCTTATTCCATTTAGTTGGGGGATCAGTTTTGTGTATAGAGAGAGGTGACACAGCACATATAAATACACATATATATATGTTCCATATATTTTTTAGGTTTCACACTCCATTTTTATCATTTATGTTATCTCTCCATAGCTTTCACAGATTGGTTCAATAAAGTACTTATTCTTTTTATTAATTTTAAGTTTCATTTTTGCTTTTCTTCTTGGTGGAACATCTGCAACACCCAAAACTGTTGCATTTAATGTCCAAAGTTTGGGGCTATGTATAAGTCTCAGCAAATAAATATTTATATATATAAGAATGGCAATTTAACCCGAATTTGACTCGATAAGATAAGGATCACATGCATCACAAATTGTTGAAACAACTTGCACTTGAATTCCATATAAGATCATTTGACAGCCAATTTTTGAACTGGAATTGCAAAGAAAGGAAATATTTTTCATGTACTTTAGACCACATAATAATTTCACAGTCATCCATCCATACACGTGTAAATCATGCGCAAAGTGGATAAGATGGCTTTGATTGCTACAGATTGTAAACTTCTGTTGCTTCACTGCAATAAACCCTAATAGCTGAATGTTAAACTCGGTTTTGTCCAAAAGTACCATATGATATTAGCATAAAAGTCCAGAAGATGCTTTCCCGAGGAGTTTTTGACCACAGAGTTTCGAATTCTATGAGAAAACTTGCTTGATCTTTAAAAGAAAAGGGTTAAAAGAACAGGAAAAATGATCTTAGGCAAGTCTTGCCTATGCAGATCAGTGACATACACGACCGGAGAATTTCTGTGCCGAACGACTCTAATTCTGGGATTCAGCTGCGTCCTTTTTCTGTATCAGTTTGATGAAGTCGTGGACACAATTGTTTTGCCTTCGGAAGTTATGATGCTTTCCGGATGGAATTGAACACCCTACGGTTTACAATCATATATGTTTGAATTCAGAAAATCATTGTGCTAATACGTTACGTGTAAAAAGAGGTAGCAGTCTTACCTGTAGATACTTGTATACTCTGTGCCGAGCAGCCACTATCAGTCCATCTTCGGTCTAAGCAGTAACCTCAAGTGCTTCCCCAGGAAAACTGTCCTCGATCACGAGGCTGTGATATCTGCCAGCACTGAAAGGGCTGCAAAAGGCGCAAAATTAGTGAGAATTGCTGATACTCTGAGGTGCATGAATTAAATTGGAATCGGTTTTAGATGTTTAAACTGTGGAACCAGAGATCTATGGCATTGGTTATAAAGAAAATCATGTTATCATGAGATAAGAAGTAACGTACTTTGACAATCCCGTAAACAACCCGTCTTCCGCCTTCTCGTCGCAATATACAGGAGAACTTTTTCCATGCATAGCACGGTAGGGAGAACATACTATCTTTCCTGCATTTTGCAATGAAGCTAAACATATTGTGTTAAAATTCTGCATGATGAAAATGCTCGACTAGGGGTTAGTCTCCGATCAAGAATAGTTACTTAAAGTATCCTAGAACACCTCCGAAAGCTTCGCCGATGCACTGCAAACCCACACAAACACCAAACAAAGGTACAATAGGTCCAAGTTCTGAGGACTTTAACCTCTCCCAAACATTACCAAATTGCAGGTAAATTCTGAGGAGTTTCTGTTATTAGTTAATTGCACAACTAAGAAAAGTAGGAGATACAATCAAATGAAGAATGTTTACTCCGTAATAGGACAAATACAAGAGCAAAGTAAGGATGATTCCCGACGTCCGATGCCGGATGTCACTCTATTCCCTGATGGTCGGTTTCTCGGAACTTATTGTTGGTCAAGACCGTTAAATCAAGTGACCAACAGTATAAAAGATACCAAATTCAGAAGGGATAACTCGACAGATCATGCTTCTTACCGACAATTAAGTTGCAACCATTTCATTGATGTAAATAGTTACGATGAATTCTCACATTTGAACAAACAATTCTTCACTTTCAAAGAAAGAACTCGAAACTATACCGAAAACAACAAATTTTCATCAGTTAAAGATTTTTTCCAGATAGTTTACAAGCATGAATCTATTCATTCACATACAAGCACACTAAATTTGTTATGAACCTAATAATCAGTACTTCTGTTTCCTGTTGTTTTCCTAATGAATTCGTAAAGCAACCCAACAGCATTTCCAGAATCAAGTCTTAAACCAGAGCAATCAAGAGAAGGCAAAATTGACAAATGAAAATAGACACGAAATTTTGAACAATCCCACCTCTACTTGTTAGCGAAAAACCAACTCCTGCAAAACAGAAACAAAAAAGGACCTTCCTCTGATTACATTGTTGAACCAGCAAAAAATCCCAGAAAATAGAGAAAAATAAAGACAGAATTGATGGAGGAGAGAGCCAGGGTAGCTGAGACAGAGACGGGTTTCAGCAGAAAGTGAGCCTTTGGTTGAACCATTTTAGACAAAGTAAGATCCGAAACATAAAACATTAATAATAATCGAAATATATTATAACAGAATCGAACAGAAAGAAAATAAAGATGTTTAGAAATTGTTAACTCGACAATACCAACAAACCAGAGATGAATGCATGATAAACTTGACAGCCATTGTTCATCTGAAGAAAGAATCAAAGCAAAGCATTGCAAGTGCATAAAAAAAATATAAACGTTTCCTTGAATTTTTGGCTAATCCTGATCAGGACATTTGATTGGGATTTAATTAATAAAAAAATTAAATTTTGATAATTACTTTCATAAGGGATATAGATAAGAATTATCCAAAGATTGAATTCAATTTGTTCAGTTTAATACTTATGAACCAAGATAAAATTATAAAAAAATTAATTTACTTAACATTGAAATAAAAAAAATAAAAAAGTGATTTTATTTTATAAAAATTCATGAAAAATCATCGAATATTCCATTAAGGTTCGGAGATCTATCCATCACACTAAAAAAATATATAGTTTTTCAATGAAAAAAATGAAGTTTGTTTTGATTATAGCCACCATTTAAGACCATACACATGCTTGCGTGGTCTATAAGCCGTTTTTGTTCATCACTCACACAAGAAAGTCGTCTTCTTTTCTTTTTCATCCAAAATAGCATTAAACCCAAACCCTAAATCTCTAACTTTTTTTCTATTTAAAAAGTTTTCTTTGGCACTCACGTCAGTGTGTTGAACCGCTGTAGCTTCACACGCACAACACAACACAACAAAAGAAAAGATCCAATTTTTTTCTCCAGATCTGACTAAACTAGACCAACCCCAATTTCCATATTTGATTTTGTCATTGCTTTCGCTCCCTTTGTTACCCATTTCCTTTTCCCATTGCCAATCTTTTATTAGATCGGATTTAACCCAGTAAACAAGGAAACAAAAAGAAACCCATTTGTTTCTTGTTTCACGGAATTGTTTTAAAGTTGAATTATTTAAGAGTGAACGTGATCCGATTGAATTTTGTGGGATTTATATTAATCAGATCTGGATTACGGGTATTTTAGTTCATATATGTTGTTTTAATAGTCTGGGTTTATTTGGTTTAGGGAGGTTTTTTTCTCAATGGCAATGCCATCGGGAAGTGTAGTTTTGTCTGATAAAATGCAGTTCCCTGGGCCTGCAGCTGCCGGATCTGCCGGTGGCGGTGGTTCCGGTGGAGTCGTAGGCGGTGAAGGTGGTGGAGGAGGAGAGATCCATCAGCACCAATACCGGCAATGGCTCCCCGATGAGCGTGACAGCTTTATCTATTGGTTGCGAGGGGAATTCGCCGCCGCCAATGCTATGATTGACGTCCTCTGTCAACATTTGCGTGAGGTCGGTGGTGTTGGGGAGTATGAAGCTGTCATAGCTTGCATTCAACAAAGGAGATGTCATTGGAACCCCGTGCTTCATATGCAGCAATACTTTTCGGTTGCCGAAGTTTCGCAGGCGCTTCAACAGGTCGCGTGGAGTCGAAGGCAAAGGTATTATGATCAAGGGAAAGTTGGGGGAAAAGAATTTAGAAGATCCGGCATCGGGTTTAAGGGGCATAGGATAGAGGTAGCTAAAGATTTGCAGAATTCTGGGGTGGATAGTGATGGAAATTTGACTGTCACCGCAACTTTGGACGGGAACGAAAAAGAGAGCGATGATAAGGGCACGGCCTCGGCTGTCACCGAGGATAAAAAGGGTAACGACTTTGCTCAAGTTTTACGTGCATTGTGGTGAATGAAATTGATTGATGTCTTGTATTGTTAGCTTGATATGTTTGGTCATCTATTTGTGATGGATACAAGTGAAATTTGTATTAACTTGCTTAAAAAGCATGGTGTTTCTGTATATGTCGAATACACTTCTGTCTCAGATTAGGCAAATTATCCTAAACTAGAAAGTAACCTTTTGTCTTTTGGTAAAATTTCTATCAAAATTAAAGGATTTAAACCAAACTTTCTTAATCGTGAATTGCTATTACAATCCATATTTGTCACTTTTACTTGAATATCCATATATGATATACCTACATGCCTAATTAACAGTTGGGAATGGTTAAAAATACATAAGAGGCATGCATTTAATAACTTGTTTACAATCATGGAGAGGATGAAAACTCATGCTTTGTTACTAAATCTCGTAGACTAACATGGAGTGTCATATTGTGAAAATTATATGTTAAGGTATCAGAATATGGACTTTCTAAATTTAATTAGAATTGTGTTTTCGCATGGGACATTTTGTATCAGTTATGAAGGCAATTGTCTTGGTTTTTCTCTTTAACTCCCAAGGAATTTTTTTTGTTCTCGATGAAGGTTATTTTGGTTCATTTCCAAGCTTTCTTTGTGCTACCACATTGGCTAATAATTATTTTTTTTCAGAAAAGTTAATTGATACTCTTTCATTGTGATTATGTATTGTACTCAGGTGTTGGTTCCAAACCTCATGCTGATAGCAGCTTAATGAACTCAGGGTCTTCGAAGGGAACTGCGTCTGAAAATACAGAATTGGGAACTGAGGATGTAAATGGAGGATACACATCGAGCTATAAAGGTACCACCTTTTACTTTGGTTATCGGTTGCTTTTAGCTATTGCATGTTTGATTCAACACCTGCATCATATGTTTAACTCTAATTTCACTATGTTGTGTTGTATTATAACTTTTTCTATTAATGATCTTTTAGAGAAAGATCTACATTCTTCCCAAAATCAGAATGGAAAGCAGAATGCTACGGGTCCAAAAACTTTTGTTTGCAACGAGATGTTTGACGGAAAGATGGTAATTCTTTATGAAATTATGGTATTTTGTGAAATTATGGATGTACTGATAGATTCTTGCTTCTTCCACTGAATTTTTTCAACTTTCCTGTATTTTTATGTTAAGGTCAATGTGGTGGATGGGCTAAAATTGTATGACGAACTGTTTGACGAGAAGGATGTTTCGAATCTTGTCTCATTGGTAAATGATTTAAGGGCAGCAGCGAAAAGAGGGGAACTTCAAGGCAAGTGTTCTTACAAGTTCATTTTTTCTTGGTCTAGCTCGAAGGAAGTAACTTTCAAAAATTGCATTTGTTCCTTGGAAGCTTCTACTTGACAGATTCTGTAGCACTGTCACGTTGATTAGCCCTATAAAATTGCATTCATTTTTACTTACGATATCAGTAACAGCTGAATTGTTATGTGATAATTTGCGAGAAGCAGATCAGACATATGTGGTTTCGAAAAAGCCAATGAAGGGACATGGTAGAGAGATGATCCAGTTGGGCCTTCCAATCGCAAATGCGCCTCTAGATGATGAAACTGCTGCAGGGACATCCAGAGGCATGTTTCTGTGATGTGCCTTCTCCCCTTAACTCTTCCCCCCACCCCCCAAACACACACATGCTCAAAGAAAGTAGTGCACATATTTGTTTATAGAGTGACAAGTAACTAAACTTCAAGCGCTTTCTTATTTGATTAAGCATTACCAGAGCGGAGAATTGAAGCCATTCCTTCCTTGCTGCAAGATGCTATTGAACGTTTGGTTGACTTGCAAGTTATAACTTCAAAGCCGGACTCTTGCATCATCGATGTTTATAATGAGGTAGGTAATGATGGTGCTTCTAGTGGTTTTGCAGGAAACGAGCTTAAGTGTTGATACTAATATTATGCTTTTCTTCTTAAATTTCAAGTGGGATCATTCACCGCCTCACATGTTGCCACATTGGTATGCAAAACCGGTTTGCATCATGTTCTTGACCGAGTGTGATATTACTTTTGGAAGAGTTATTGCATTTGATCAGCCTGGGGACTTTAGAGGTTCTCTCAAGCTTTCTCTGGCACCGGGGTAGTTATTTAATTGTTTTCTCTCGATCCTATTACCTTAGCGATCCATAGTTGTGCTTGGAGAATGTTGCATGTTTAGAATTGAATAATATCTATCTTTTTCCAGATTACTATCTTCGATCATTTTCCTAATCTTGTGTATTTCATAACCATCATGCAGTTCTCTCCTTTTGATGCAAGGAAAATCATCTGATTGCGCTAAACATGCACTTCCCTCCCTCCGAAAGCAACGCGTCCTCGTCACATTTACAAAGTATCAACCAATGAAATTCATGACCGACAACCAGAGGCTTCCTTCGCCTTCGGTTTCTCAGTCTTCAAAATGGGGTCCACCACCAAGTAGATCACCCAATCATTTTCTCCCTTCCGTCGGAGCCAAGCCTTATACAGCAATGCCAACAACGGTAGTACTCCCAGCCACGCCAAATCACCCACAAATCCCACCTCCAAATGGTGTTCAACCTCTATTTGTGCCCGCTCCAATTTCTCCTGCAATGCCATTTCATGCTCCGGTTCCTATCCCACCTGGTTCAACAGGGTGGCCGGGTGCTCCTCCAAGGCACCCTCCACCTCGCCTACCTATTCCTGGAACTGGAGTTTTCCTTCCTCCACCAGGCTCTAGTAATCCATCGTCGCAAGGGTTAACTACTGCAACCGAACTCAATGTTCCGGCGGAGACAGCTTCCCAACCAGAAAAAGAGAAGTGTAACGGAAGTGTAGACGGAACTGGGAATGGAGTAGCCGTGAAGGAAGAACAAACTGTAAGGTCTAGCAAAGGTGGTAGTAGTTAAGTTGAGAGAAACAGGGGTAGGGTTATGAAGTGCAATGAGTTTTAAAGATCGGCGACATTCGAGACTTTGACGTTTTTTGGTTTATCTTATTATATGAAATCACATGCCAGGTGGAAACTCCGTTCTTAATTCCTTCTTATTAATACATGCTTTACAAATTATTTCTAGTGGCGGGGAAATATTTGTTTTTGCCTCAAACCTCCACTCTCTTGCTTTTATACCAATATGCCTGGGAAATAAAAGGGTAAATTACAAATTTGATCACATATTTTCTTTTCTCTCCTATTTTTATCATTAATGTCTAAATTATTTCAAGTTACTCACTAAAATTTTGATTTGTTATTACTTTAGTCACTCAATCATTAAATACCTAACGAAGACATTTATTTTTTGAAAATTATGAGGGAGTTCTATTTTCTTATCATATTTTATGAAAAACTCTAATTTTTTATTCTCTTTAATTTCATGACGATGGAGTATTTTTAGTCTTTAAAATGTTAATTCTTCTTTTAAAAAATTATATCAGTGAAGATTAATACCAGTATACCACTGTTTTTGCAAGCTGGGAGCTGTGTAAATATCAGTGAAGGATTCATGGAAGGCTGGATCTTCGACACCGGTTAGTCCATTGTCGTAAAAATTATCTCCCGTCTATTTTCTCTCCGGTTATTCCCATTTGAACCATATAAATAAATTAATATTGATAATAATTATACTATCTGAGGATATTAAGGTTTAAACATGCTTAATTCCAAAATTTTTATATGATCTGCGATAATAATGTCAATTGAGTTAAACTCAATCTGTAAAAACAGATTGGATACGAAAATTTGTTTGTTAATCATGATTAGTTAATACGCGTGAATATAGTTTTTATAAAACAGTTTTAAGAGAAACACCTGAAGGGCAACTTGAGATTGGTTATAGTGTCCTCTTCTCCCCCAGTATCCGACCACCAAGAAGGTTTCGCGGCGTGTTCGAAGCGTTGAAGCTCCGCCACACACAAGACTACGAACAACCCGATAGTCAGCGTCGATACAAGCTTTAGCTTCATAGCTTTATTTTTTAAAACAGCAATGGTTATCCGACGTGATACTAGGAGAGACATGAAAAGCAGAAAAAGGAAGAGAAGACCATGCATGGAATGAAATGCTGTCAGGCTACTTATAATAGCAGTTTGATTACTTAAATCGGCACAATAAAATACAAGTATATTGATAAATCGGAAGATTAAATTATTAAAATATCAATGATAAAAAAAAGTTTTATAGTATTATCTGACACATCATGATTATACTAAACGAAATAGAAAAATCTATATGTCGTATATGTATCCTATTCATATGGATAGCTATATCTATTTAATAATTTCGTATGTTTTGGTTTGTGGTCCTTGAATTTGTGAGTAACCAAACCATCAATCCACATTCTTGAAGGACAATACGTGTAGGGAATTTCTAGGTATCTTCCTTTGTCCTTGCCAAATGACTAAATAAAAAGTGAATTTATAGGAATTTTGCTTTTCTATATTTATTTTAATTTAAGTCCGAATATATTTGGATGATGATTCTGGGTTTGTAGTCTAGTTCTGCAAGTTTCTGGAAGCTGTTTTAGGAAATTTCCAGCTCTGTTGGCTTTAACCTCTGCCCATTTACGTAAAGATCAGCATTATTGGCCGGAGCTTCAGGATTGAAAATTGTTGGTAATGACTAATGAATTGGTGCTGTGAACGATACTTATTAATTAGTTGAGTGATAAAGATGTTCATATTATTCTATTTTGTATGAATTTAAATCACGATGTTTATCTTAAAAATATAAATACCTTTTCGTTTAATAAAAAAAGTCTTTCATTAAGATGTAAAAGTAGGAGAGTGCACATCCATGGTATTCATCGGGTTATCGTCGTGGATGTAACCTTGGGCCAAGCTTTAACGGTTTTAGCCTCTAGAGTTATTTCAAGAATTCCTGGGTCGAAAGCAATAACCTAATATCAGTGTCTGCGTCATTCTCATATTTACGAAAATGTCTGAAAAAAATCTCATCTCCATAAACAACGTTACAACCCTGTTCGTTGAGATTGGACCCATATACACAAACTGGGTTTTAAGACCAACCATGGTCACTGTTGAGATGCAACGTTTTATTATTGAAAACTTGCCAATCCCATGCATAGAAACAGTAAATTCAAAGAGAAAAAGAACCAACATCAAAACTCTAACTATTAGCTGCTTTATGTTGTAACTGATAAATAACCGCAAAGTCCAAATATTGAGGGTTGGTTTTTCAATTTTGTTGAACCAATAACTCATAGTAACAAACGAACAAAGAACCAGGCGTAGTTACAACTATCCTAAAGCTTCATATAAGGGAATCCCTCACCCTCAATCCACTGCATTATCTGAATTCGTCACCCTAAATCCACTGCTTTATCTTCCTCCATCTTTCGGCGACGATTAAATAAGTATGTTGAAGAGGGCCGCCGCTTGTATCAAAGACAAGAAAAGCCTAGTCTTCGCCCATTTTTCGGCTAAAAGATCACATAGGAATCATGATTTTGAGGCTGCCATCATCAAGGCCACAAATCATGATGAGCACGACACCGTTAAAAGGAATGCGGGAATAGATTTCGAGTGGATTCTAGCTTCTCCGAGTAACATATATCATTTTGTCCGGGCTTTGACTAAAAGGATCGAAAAGAATCGGAGTTGGGTGGTGGCGATCAAAGGGTTAATGCTCATGCATGATCTTGTTCATTGTAAGGTCCCGGCCGTTAAAAGGATTGGCCGTTTACCGTTCGATTTGTCGAGGTTTAGAGACGGGCATTCGAGGTTAAGCAAAACATGCGGTTTCAATCTTTTTATTCGACAGTACTTTACATTTCTCAATCAAAGAGGTGTCATTTGGCTCAAGGAAGAGAACAAAAATGTCGAGGACAGTCCGTTGATGGTTCAGCAGCTTTTGAAGATTCGGAAATGGCAATTTTTGCTCGATTTGTTGCTTAAAATTAGGCCACGAGCGGATAATATGAAGGTCCCTTTAATATTCGAGGCCATGGATTGTCTTGTCGTCGAGATCTTCGATGTTTATAGTAGAATACACAGTGAGATAGCAAAGGTCTTATTGGAAGTACATTCAATAGGTAAACCTGAAGCAGCCATGGCCCTTGAGATTCTTCGGATTGCAACAAAACAAGGTGAAGAACTTTCCCGTTATCTCGAATTTTGTAAGGAATACGGTGTTTCGAAAGCCAACGAATTCGTCACAGTTATTGAGATTCCGAAGGAATCTGTTAAAGAACTCGAAAGAAGAATCGATGGGGTTTCAGACAAGACATACAAGGACCGAATGACATTAGGTGTAAGAGAGGACGGTAATGCTATTGTTGAACATAGAGAAACAATGGAAACCTTGAAGGCAACAGTAACAGATAGATGGGAGGTTTTCCAGATGATATAAAAATCAATGGAAACAACACTACTGGAAAAACTGCAGCACTCATACACCCAAAAATATAAAATTATTGAAGGATCAATCGGTTTTATGATTCATGCTTCCCATTCTCTTCTTTGTTTTTAGTTAACAGATGGGGTTCCACTAATTAATCAGTGCTTTGACGACTAATTTCTTCATGAATCATGCTTGTAATAACATTGATTAACTAAATAATTTTTAATCAAATGACATTCGACAAATTTATACTTTAGTACTCACTGTGTTTCATTTCGTCAAAATAATTAAATCATTATGTTATTAACAATTAAATCATATATTAAGTCACTGAAAGACCTCTTACCAACCATTAGAAATAAATGAAAGAGAAAGGACATAGTCCTAAGAAGGTTCATATATGGAATCAAATCGAGGTCTCACTCTACATTATAGAACAACCCATTAATAATGAAAAGAAAAGTGAAAGGCCCAAGTCGTTTCTTAAGAGTAAGAGAAAGGCTAATCTTATAAATAAAAACTATATATATATATAGTATATTTAATCGTGTCATCTTATAACTTTAATTAAAAAGAGAATTACTGTAATATCTTCCGCTGCTGGTATCAAGGACATGAAAAGCCTAGTCGTCTCCTATTTTTCCGCTGGAAGATCAAATAGGAATCATGATTTTGATGCTGCCATCATCAAGGCCACAAATCATGATGAACACGACACCGTTAAAAGGAATGCGGAAATAGTTCTTGAGTGGATTCGAGCTTCTCCGAATAACCTATACCATTTTATCCGGGCTTTGACTAAAAGGATAGAGAAGACTCGGAGTTGGGTGGTGGCGATCAAAGGGTTGATGCTCATGCATGATCTTGTTCATTGTAAGGTCTCGGCCGTTAAAAAGATGGGCCGTTTACCATTCGATTTGTCGAGGTTCAACGACGGGCATTCGAGGTTAAGCAAAACATGCGGTTTCAATCTTTTTATTCTTCAGTACTTTGAATTTCTCGATGAAAGAGGTGCCATTTGGCTCGAGGAAGAAAAGAAGAATGCCGAGGATAGTCCGTTGATGGTTCACCAGATTTTGAAGCCTCAGAAATGGCTACTTTTGCTTGATATGTTGCTTAAAATTAGGCCTCGAGCTGATAACATGAAAGGTCCCTTTAATTTTTGAGGCCATGGATTGTATCATCGTCGAGATCTTTGATGTTTATAGTAGAATACGCAGTGAGATTGCAAAGGTCTTATTGGAAGTACATTCAGCAGGTAAACCAGAAGCAACCATGGCCCTTGAGATTCTTCGTAAGGCAAAGAGACAAGGTGTAAAACTTTCTCGATATTTCAAATTTTGTAAGGAATACGGTGTTTCGAAAGCCGACGAAATTGTCACAGTTTTTGAGATTCCGGAGGAATATGTCAAAGAACTCGAAAGAAGAATCAATGGGGTTTCAGATATGACATACAAGGATCAAATGGCATTAGGTGTAAGAGAGGAAGACCATGCCATTGTTGAACCTAGAGAAACAACGGAAACCTTGAAGACAACAACAATAACAGAGAGATGGGATGTTTTCCATGATGATATAAACACCAATGGAGGAAATATTAACGATGACATCAATGAAAACAACACTGCTGCTGATCAAGAAGCTGGTGCTACATTACTTTCAGATCAAACTCTTGTACACAT